ATTCGCGAAAAACCACAAGGGGGGGGGGGTGTTCAATTACCCCCCCCCCCAGCAGGGCGCGGGTTAATGACCCGACTGCCTAGTCTGACGCTCGGAAATATCCCTATTGTACGATATGTCCTGTCGCAGTACAGGTCTCGCGAGATTAAGCGGTAGGTTTTGCACTTTTACATTTCCGGTTATATCTCAGAAACTAATCGATCTACGATGAAGCCATTTTACACGATCATGGCCGACTTGTTACCCAACAAGTCGATCGCATCTTCAACACTTAAAAGCTTAAGACGACGAAGATATAGCCTGAAGTACACTAAATTTTCTAGGTGCAAAACCTACCGCTAAAACCCGCGAGACCTGTACCTCAGGCTCACCCCTGCTATCACCCTGTTTAGCAGACACGTCTTTCATGTCAATCAACGCACTGACGGGGGGAGCCACTCCAAACTCATAATCACGTCTGACACATGATCATACTTCTGTCTGCCAGATGTCACTCTGGCAGCAAAGTTTTGCACTTTCTGCAGTCGCTTTAAGCTCGTTTTGCTGGCACAGCCGAATACTTGACTACAAAAGCGCACATGTGACATGCACAATTCAGTATGAACCGTACAGAAGCTATTCGGAAAGTGAATTTTGAAGCTACCCATGCAAATGGCCCAATTTGCAAAGTGCGATAGGTATGATAGAATCTGTAGGAACCGTAGAATCTGTATTTCTATCTGACTGGCTGAAACTAAGGCCTACCATAAAAATGATTTTCAAGCATTTTGGTCCATCATACCATACTTTGAGGTTTCCAAGAATACGCAAAGTGGCGATGCAATAGCGTCGCCCGACCGATCTGAAAAAGAGAAGCAAAAAAAAATACCACACCGCACGCCCGTGGCGGCGCGAACAACGCCAACGCAAACGTCGCAAAAATATCCAGAAAAAAAAACGAAACAATGGAAAAAACCGCGCCGTTTGCCCCCCCCCCCCAGCCAACAACGCACTGCAAACGATGCGGGAAAGGAAAAGAAAGAACAAATGAAAGGAAAAATGCAAGTGACAATTGAAGTACTGAATCGCTTCGCGGTCACTCGTGACGAGAGCAGAGGGCGGTAGGGGGGATGTTGCCCAGTGGCCGGTGCTCCCCTGTCTTTTCCACTTTTAATCGTTAGCATGTGCAGAACATGAGAATATGCTGACGCCTTAAACATTTGAAGGACCAGTACAGTTTTGTTTTGCTGTAGCTTATCCCTGAGAGCCCAGTTTTCTGCCTGGTCTCAAATCCGGTGCGTACCTACTCTGCGACTTGCCGTACCTCCTCCTTCCGCTGTCTGTGGCATGTTTGATGTTTGCTCCGAGTTTTTTTTTTTTGCAATCTACGATTCAATATGATGGATAGCCGAGACGGATTCTAATATTCACACGACACCCAGCACAGACGTACAGGTCACCGCTGAAGTAATGTGACGTGCTCCTCACTGCTGTATCAACCAAAACCTAGCACCATTCATTGCAGGTGAGATGTATCGTCAAAGACAAGGATCGCACAGTTTTGTATTTTACAGGGTGTCCGGAAATTATTTGCCCCTCCATCAGCTCGCCGCCATTATTAATAAACAAACAGCCCCCGAGTCACGGTTTATTGACCGATTTATTCCCTCATCCACTTTGGTATTCCATAGATCAAGATGTCAAGAGTATTCGCGCTGATGCTCAGCCACACCTTTCACAGGTTCCTCTTCAAGTCCGTTTACTGTGGGAGCTGGTTCAATCTTGCCGAGCCCCTCCTTCATGATTCTCCATAGGTGTTCAATTGGGATTAGGACAGAGGAATCGATTTGACTTCCTACTTCATTCCAGTCTTCACCATAACTTCAGCGCGATGAGGCTTTGTCAAAGAATTTCTTTCGTTAAAACGACGTTACTGATTGTTGATGCAACTGATGTAGCTGCTGTCACTAATATGATGATACTTTGGTGACTATAACTGCTGTGACTGGTATAACTGCTGTGACTAGCAGGGTTGTATACCAATCAAGTCGATTGAATTGATTGATTTGATTCAACGCGTATTTTGAGTTGATTGGATTGAGTCGATTGACTTTTCGAGATGACTGGTTGACTGACTCGTTTGACTTTAGCGACTGGTTGACTGATTTGATTCCCGAAAATTAGAGTGACTCGTATGATTGAGTCGATTGAATGGAAAGTTGAAATAAGTTTTAGTTGACGAAAAATAATGACACCAATTGATGACATCAAAGATCACAAAACTACACTGAAAACTGCTTGTCATCACAACTGCAATATGGGGTAGATGGCCAAATAAAGAACAGGGCCTAAACATGAACAGCCAACTTTGACTTTCAACTGCAATAACTGCTCCAATCCTGTGATAGAACCTGGCGATGCACCTACCTAGTACCTACCTTTCTGCACTCAGCAAGAAACTTTTTTTTTAATCCAGATGATAAAGTGCAAGGCCCTATATACTAATAAAGTGTGATTAATTACTAATTCACATCTCCACATCTCCTCAGAAACAACCCACTGAACTCTATAAATATCTGAAACCCCTACAAAAATAACTGAAACAAAAGCGCCGTTTTCGTCTCGCTAATTACGTTTACATTAATAGCTAATTTGCTGCATTGTTTAATTTGCAGCAGAACGTTTGTTGATCCTTTTCTCCTGAGAGCCTAGGCATAACATATTTAATATATTTCATTTTCCTTAAAAAAAATTACCGAATATCATTAAGTGGTTTTATTTCTAATGAAATAATAATTAAAACGAAATTGGTGTTGTACAACCGATTTATTTTATGATGATCTACCATACTACATGATAATCAATGACGTCATCTTACCAAAAAATCAAAAGACGTAGAATAAGGATTTATAAAAGCTTAGCATACTTCTTGGCAAAACGTTTTCTTTGTTTTTTTTTTCCGCAGTCGCACCGCACCAACGGCATTTAATTTTCCTTGTTCCTCTTCCTTTGTCCTTAACTTATCCTGTGGTTCCAGAGTCCCTGTCCTTTCCATTTCCTTTTAAATATATTTTAATGCTCATCCCTATCCCCCAGTCCTAACAGTTTCAAATTGTATTGCAATAAAATGTTTTGAATTCTTCACATATAACCTAATACCTATCTACCTTCGTTGGTACTGTTGGTAGCCAGTGACACATCTAGGCAGGTAAGTAGGTACCTACCTGCTTTCCTGCTGTCTTCATAAAGCATACCTAATGAAGTTGTCAAATTTGTAGCACATTTTCAACACTTTCATATCAATATGGTATCAGTGTGGCATGTAACCTAGCTAGGTTCATTATGTTCAGGGTTCAATTCAGAAGAGCTCCGCATAACTCACATAAGAGACAGACGGGGGCTTTACATGGGGTAGATGGCCTGATGACTTAGCTGGAATATGGCCAAAATTAAATTGACAACTTTTAGGTGAAAGGTGGTGATTTGGGTTAACCCTCGCCGGCCGAGGGGGGGGGGGGCGGGTGCCGCCCCCCCATAGGGTTTTTTCGCGATAGCTCCGAACACGCTGGCGATAGAGAGCCGAAACTTGGCATACCTGACCTTTGATCCAAGCCGCATCTTTTGACACCAACCGCATTTTTGGGTCAGGTCAGGTCACTGACCTATGACGTCACAAGTGAACCTCTGCACGGTCTTCAGATGTCGCAACTTCGCAACGCCCTCACTGCCAGAGGAGATGTCACAGGGAAATGAAACTTGCAGGATCTAATATCCATTATGAGTCCCACAACTTGTATATCTCGGATTTTTCCTAAAGGTCATATGAGGTCAGGTCATTTTCGTGACCTCACCATTATAAGTCAATGGGGAAAAATGAAAACTGCTATTCTGGCGCCGGGAATGATCTCCAACTATCTCAAGCACACAGAATCGTGATTTGATGCACTCCTTGCAAGGTTAGATGCGTCACTTTTGCAATGTTGACCTTTCGTGACGTCATTTATGACGTCATCAAGGTCATATTAGTTTTTCGTCAATAACTCTTGATCAAATTGAGCTAGCGAGTCGGGAAAGCCACCAATGGACTCAGGAAGACCTGCCGAATCGAATGATATGCGACATGACCTCTTTCGACCAACTTCGTGACCTTGGGGTGCTGACCTGACCTTGACCTGAGGTCAACACCCCAAGTTGACCTGACCCGGACGAAAAGTATATCATTCGACGCGCCTGAGCGAGGCGAACACGATGCTGCCAAAATCGGCGCTCTGCGGCCGTTTTTTGCGAAGCTATTCACCAAAAACTGAACCGTGCCTTGGGGCACTTGACCTGACCTCAGAGGTCACCGGTTGACCTAGGACCTTAAAATCGGGTACCAATCTCTGCGTCTCGTAACGGCGCACACGCTCGTTTTTTCCGCGACGCGCTAGCTCCACCAGGGGCGAAACGGCGAGGGGGGGTCGTACCCGCCCCCCCCCCCCCTCGGCCGGCGCGTATGTAGAAAACCAATAGGTCCGGCGAGGGTTAAGGGGCGTTTGTTGAAGTCAACTACTTGGTTATTTTGCACCCATTAAATGAAACTTCTGCTCCAATTCTACCCATTGAACCTCAATATCATGATCCACCTGTCCATCACTAGGTATCCTTCCTTTTTACATAGAAACTTTGAATGGCATGGCAATTTATAATTTTAAATGACAATATTTTTGTTTCTTCTGTAGGTAGGTAGGTAGGTAGGTACACCAGACTGCTATGGACACTTCCAAGTTGGTGGGGCAAAAAACCTAATGTATGTCTTGGTTTGAGTCGTTTGATTGAGTTGATTGATTCCTTTCATTGTCGCGTTTGAGTCGATTGAATCAATTCCCGAAAATTGCTCTGACTTGATTGATTTGATTGGTTTCCCAAATTTGTCGTGATTGAATTGATTGCTATTGATTGAGTCGTATACAACCCTGGTGACTAGTGTGTCTAGTGTGACTGCTGTGACTGGCTTGTGACTGTGCCGACTGCCGTGGCAGGGCGGCGGTGTGGCCGGCGCCACGCTGCACCTAGCACGGACCGTGTGTCGCCGCGCAGAGAGGGTGGTCACGCCGCTCACCAGAGCCGACCGCGTGGACGCCAGCGTGGCTGTCTACCTGAACCGGTGAGACCCCCCCCCCCCCCCACACACACACAAGCACACAACCATACGCCAGTCGGCTGCTGGTACACGGGGCGCCGTGTGGGACGCCGGGACTGCACCGCCGCCGACGGCCGGGGCCCAGCGTTTGACTCAGGAACCGTACACTGCCACGCTCAGTGCTCAGGGGACGCCTGAACTACAACGTATCGATCTGTAGCCGTTCTAAACCATGTAGCGAAAAACTCAGACCAGCATCGGATTGTTCGGGAGAAGGCACATACGTCAGGAAACCACTTCATATTCTTTGCCAAAGGCACATTTTAAATTCGTAAGACCACAAAAAGTGTTTCAATTTACTTTTTTGCTGAATATGATGTTTTCCTAGCTTCCAACAATACGCGCTGCCTTTTTGTTAATTTTGGCATATTTTTCGTTCCAGAGGCGTTCCTGATGTTTTATAGACTTTAGACAGCCTTGATCATGATCATTCGTCGTATACCTAGCGTGCAGATAGATCGGTGACGTTTGTTTACGACCATGGGAATCACCCGCTTGACGACTCGTGCATGGTCCGTTTTGGCCGCGCTCAGACATGTAAATCATGTTACCTCTTGCTCTCTCTGGCTTCGCTCGCTGTGCTTTGCTCAACCGTTACTGCTTGCAGGTGAGCTGCTGGAGCTCTCCAGCAAGAACCACGCCGAAAGTCCTTTTAGAAAGTTCACAATTGCACTTGATTCAGCGTGGTTACATTTTGTCTGCTAAGCTTAAAATGGAAAGGGACTACTCTGCTGGCTCTGGGTAATAAGTAATTGATTCGAGTCGTGACCGGTTATCGAAACCACACACTCTTCAAGCTCTGTAAGTTAAGGGATGTTTTAGAATCAAGCTCATTCGTGCTTTTGGCCACAAATTAAATGTTCTTCAATTTTGGGACACCCTGTGCAGATAATTTTGATCAACTTGATCATCTGTGGAAAGCAGTGTGCGCTAGCCAGTTTTCCAAGTAACCTATCTAACAAATAGCGTGCTGTGTTACCAGAGACCTTTATTGGGGGTCGAACTTAAAATGCGAATTATATTTTTTCACTCATATCTGTTAAACCCTCGCCCGTATAGGGGGGGGGGGGGTCGAACGGACCCCACCTCGATTTTTCGCGAATAACTCGCGTAAAAAGCGGCCGATCGCGACGAATCTTTCCGTACCCTCGAGTTAATCAATTGTACACATACCCTGAAAATTTCATAAACCTGACCCAAATGACCTTTGATCTGTGACCTAGGTACTTTTCAAGACCATGTTTGGCCGGAATCGCTATTCGGCGTATGTCGGCACGCATTAGCCGCGCGTTCGCAGTCTTTTCGTCGTTGCAAGCGTTCAAACATGCGATATGATGTTGCTCTCATGCATTAGGATGGGTGTTCAGGTCACCTGAAGGTCAGGTCAGGTCATTGATGTTTGATGACCTCGGTTCACTTTTTTCGAGTTTTCCATGTTTCTAAGCTAGTTTTTGGAGCTGAATTCGAATTTAGCAACCATATGAACATTTACGAAGTAGTTTTGGTGCCATCGTAACATGCTACGAAGCTGTCAGAGGCGGTTGATACCTACTACGAATACCCGCCAGGACCCCTACTGGTTGACCTGACCTGACCTGACCCGACCTGCCCTAAATGTATAAGGACATCATCTGTGATCAAAACTAACATGATATTCGTGGTGATCAGCACCCCGAAACAACCCATAGCAGCCACACTTAACGACGCTCTAACAGGTCCCGATTTTCCCGACTTTTGGGTCATTGACCTGACCTGGAAGGTCCACCAAACCAATGACCTAGGGGCTAGGACCTTAAAATTGGGTAGCATCGGCTTCCTCTCGTCACGGGCCGCGGAGCTCTAGCTCGATCAGGGCAGCTTATCTCTTGCTCTCTCTGGCGTCGCTCGCTGTGCTTTGCTCAACCAATACTGCTTGCAGGTGAGCTGCTGGAGCTCTCCAGCAAGAACCACGCCGAAAGTCCTTTTAGAAAGTTCACAATTGCACTTGATTCAGCGTGGTTACATTTTGGCTGCTTAGGCTAAAAATGGAAAGGGAAATGGAAATGGGCGAAACGGCAAGGGCTGAAAAACACGTTCGCGGCTGGAAAAACACCAATACGGGCGAGGACTAAGCCATTTACCTCAGGCAAGACCCGTATGCAGCATTGTTTTTGAGCCTTGTTCGTCGGCCGTGCTTGGTCTTCGGAGCGTGATGTCACCGACCCGGTGTCCCGGGCTCAGCGACTGTCCGACCTCTCACCGGCCCGGTGTCCCGGGCTCACCGACTGTCCGACCTGTCACCGACCCGGTGTCCCGGGCTCACCGACTGTCGGGCTTTTTGTTCACGGTGGCCCGGGTTCCTGTGTTCACAGACTGTCGGACTTTTTGTTCACGGTGGCCCGGGGTTCCTGTGTTCACAGACTGTCGGACTTTTTGTTCACGGTGGCCCGGTGTCCTGTGTTCACAGACTGTCGGACTTTTTGTTCACGGTGGCCCGGGTGGCTGCGGCGGCCGACGGCGTCGACGAGGAGGTGTACGTGCGACCGCCGCCGGGCCAGCCGTCAGAGTGACCGGTAACAATAGGTACGGCCGCCAAATCGACACATAGGCACAACCGGCCGGTGCTGTCTGGCTGGTTACGCCCCATGCTTAGATCTTCTCCATGAAGCGTTTGATACAGTCGTGTGATTTTGTTTAAAAAGTGCTAAAATGCCATTTTTACATCTGGAACACACGTTTGATTTGCATTTCATTACCAATATGTTTTAACAGTTTAGATAACTGAACGAATACGTTAATAACTTCACACACTGAAACCGTTTAAAGGAAATAAGTGTATGAATATGAAAATTAGCAACGCACTGTCGTTGTAGTAAGCTCTTCCCCTCCCGTCAGGTCGGAGTGGTCTGCCGGGCCTCTCCCGTCAGGTCGGAGTGGTCTGCCGGGTTGCGGCTGCGCCGTCTGCCCCCTCCCCCAGCGCGGCCCGGCCCCCACCTGCAGCGCAGTGCTCTGCAGGCGCGTATAGCGACGAGGGAGCTGACGCACAGCTGCGCCGGCCACGCTGGGCGCGACAGTCGGCACACGACCCGCCACCTACAAAATGCCAAAACAAAACGGGACTGAAAATGACCTCGAAGCTCGGATCATCGGGCATCCAGTTACGCCCGAGGCCTGATCTGTGTAGATCTGATATGGGTGTTGTGAAACGGGATGTGGTATACATAGTAAATACGCTGCGGCTTGAAACTGCATTTGAAGTTATTAAAGGTAGTGTGCCACCTTTGAAAGATTTCCCATTTTATTTTTCCTAGGATAAGAAGCTTCTGTTTTTACCTAATATCGCAAAAAAAATCAAAAATGGGCCTGGAATAGTGCCTTTTTCGCCTAAAAGTTTATCGGTTTTTAGATATGTATAACAACTGTAGTGGGCTCACCTGCAAACAAGCGTCGGCAACAATCGCGAATGCGGCGCACATGTGACAATAAGCAAAGGTCATTATAGTGTTACGACCATACGACGTACGGGAATGAGTTATCAGCTGTCTAATCGTAGACAACACAATGTCGAGCCTTAAACTGTAAGCCTGTATTGGTATTGTTTCTTTTATTTGGCTGTCGAACATTATTTATGGTTTGAAATATGATTTTATGTAAAATAATTGATATGAAAAAGCCGTCTCATAAGTTATGACCCCATTTCACCACACGCAAGTGGCAGAAATGACAATGATCAGCTGACGCATTTTTCTTGGCCGAAGTCAGAGCGCGCAGCCCGACGCACCACCACCGCACCACAAAGTATGAGCAGAAGCCGCGCCCAAAGCCAGGGCCCCGGTAACGTGAGGTAGCCGAGTCGGGGCAGCGTGCGCTGACCCAAGCCGGGGCCGCAGCTTTGGGCGCGGTCTACCGCATCCCCGCGGGCAGCCCCGGGCTATCACATGACACCGGGAGGACGCGCGGCTCCGGCTTGGGTCAGCGCACGCTGCCCCGACTCGGCTACCTCACGTTACCGGGGCCCTGGCTTTGGGCGCGGTCTACCGCACCACCTAACAGGCGTGTTCGAAACCGCAGGAGCTGATGATGAACGGGTTTATCGAAACTTGATTGGATGAGCATATCGGTAATAGCGATTTCAGTGTGTGCATTTATTGTTCATAGTGGTGTGAAATGTGGTTGGGGTACGACCGACAACCCGTCGGGGCGAATTTCGCACTGGGGTACTCAAAATTTGAAGAATTTAAGACGTTTCCATGAGTTTTGAAGGTATGGATAAGTTCTAAAAATCCGGTTCTCCTTATCTGGGCCATTAACTCCATACGGTCCAGGAAAGCTGGCACACTACCTTTAAGCAGTCGCGTTGTGAAACATGAGCGCTCTCTGTCTCGGCGTCGCTGAGTATGTCGTGTGCAAGCGCTGTAATGAAAAAAATATACCCGCTCGTCAGCTGTACGGATTTTCTCCCTTCACCGAGCTACAGGGTGTAACGAAATTATCCGGACATCTCTCTTCGCGCTATAAGTAAGAAGCAAGACAATCTGCTATTTTCCCTTTTGAATTATTGTATTATTGTATTTGTATCGTATTTATTGCATACCATCAACAGGTCTGAAAACCCAATAATAGACGGAGTCAGACATATAAAAACAATAAATACGACACACATTGTTAAAACTTCACACTGTATGGCGAACGAACACAGACACACACTTCATAAACCGAGAGCGCCTTCCAAAAATGTCCGCTCCGCTGAATTATTACATTCAATATCTTTCATAAAAGCGCAGGTACTAATTTTTTGGAGCATTCAGCCACTGGGTTTTCCAGCACAGTGGGTTTCATTAGTGATGTCAATTACGGGAAATCGGAATACCGATACCAAACCAAATACCAACCAAAACCGTGGGGAAATACTGAAACCAAACCAACTTGGGAATATGAGGGAAATACCAACTTTTTACCAAGTTTTCAGCCTGTTATACATTAGTGAGGGTTCATGATACCAACAAAATACCAAACACAATAGCATTTAACCCTCGCATGTGTGCGGTGTTTTCCATGGCCCCTGATCGAGCTAGAGCTTCTCGGAAAAAAACGAGCGTGTTGCCCGTGACGAGAGGAAGCCGATGATACCCAATTTTAAGGTCCTAGGTCATTGGTTGACCTTCCAGGTCAGGTCAATGACCCAAAGTCGGGAAAATCGGGACCTATTAGAAAGTCGTAAAGTGTGGCTGCTAAGGGGTTTTTCGGGGTGCTGATCACGAATATCGTGTTAGTTTTGATCACAGATGATGTCTTTAAGCATTTAGACCAAGTCGGGTCAGGTCAGGTCAGGTCAACCAGTAGGCGTCGTGACGGGTATTCGTAGTACGTGTCAACCGCCTCTGACAGCTTCGTAACATGTTACGAAGGCACCAAAACTACTTCGTAAATGTTCAAATGGCTGCTAAATTCGAATTCAGCTCCAAAAACTAGCCTAGAAACATGTAAAACTCGAAAAAGTGAACTGAGGTCATCCGAGGTCACCAAAGGTCAATGACCTGACCTGACCTTCAGGTGACCTTGACACCCACCCTAATGCATGGGAGCAACATCAAATCACATGTTTGAACGTTTGAAACCACGAAAAGCTTGCAAACGCGCGGCTAATGCGAGCCGACATACGCCAAATCGCGATTCCGGCCAAACATGGTCTCGGAAAAGAGGTCACAGGTCAAAGGTCATTTGGGTCAGGGTCATGAAATTTTCAGGGTAGGTGTAAAATTGATCAATGCGAAGGTACTGAAAGTTTCGTCGCGATCGGCCGCTTTTTACGCGAGTTATTCGCGAAAAACCATGGTGGGTCCATCCGACCCCCCCCCCCCCTACACATGCGAGGGTTACATACCAAATATCATGTTGGTATCGGTTTGGTATCGGTATACCAAAAAGTTGGTATCCGATTGACATCTCTAGGTTTCATATAAGAGTAGCGCCTTACTAACCTATGCCCACAGTTGGGTGGCGCTGGTGGCGGGTGTCCCCTCATTCATCTCCTGCTGGACAAAAGTGCATAACATATCGATGGAGTTGGGATGGAAGCTATTTCCAAGCCATAGCCATAGCCATAGAATATTCAAAGCCTGAAGCCCAAAGTTCAGGAGCTGACGTTTGAGCTCAATCGTCACTACGTCATGCTTCTGGCTGAGACCTGGCTGCGCTCGACAACCCCGAACCGCCTCCTGGTCAATCCAGGATACACGCTCTGTCGTGCGGACCGCCCAGATGGTAGCGGTTACGGCGGTGTCGCAATTATCACCAAGGCTAAAATCACGTCAACCGCACTAAAGATCCCGGGCAGTGGGAGCTCTGCCAGCAGCCTGGAGTCACTGCGGGCGCTGCTAAAGCTTGAACAGGGCCGGCAGCTGATTATCTGCTCCCTGTATCGGCCACCCCGACACAGTGAGGCTGCTCTTCTTGCCGACTTTACGGACCTCGAGGTCCAACTGCAACGAGTTATAATCGATTACCCCCAGTGTTCCGCTTGTCATCTGCGGCGACCTCAACTGTGATTTATTGAAAGAGCCTAATTTCCGCGCGTGTCAACACCCAAGCAGCTTCCTATCAAATTACTCATTAGATCAATTAGTGACAACTGCAACATTTACCTCCGGCTCACTCCTGGATGTGTCTATTGTTAACAACCGTGAGCTCGTTTGCGACACCCGTGTTAAAGATTGTCACTTCAGTCCTCACAAATTTATCGATGTCGTTGTGAATGTGCCGAAACTGCGTCAAAAGCCCACGGTTATCTCGTCACCAGGTCACTTTTAATAACCCAACCTCAAGTCACTTTTTGCAACTTTGTCGCCGTGTCAGAGCCACAGTTATAGATGACGGACGCCTTTGAAAGTCACAGGATATTATTAGGTCATTGGTAGCTAAAATTTGTATATCTCGGAATTTTGATATCGATGGCTCAACCCGGCAGGCGGTGGGCCTCCCGGCCACCTTCCGCGCGGTGGGGGGGGGGGGGCTTTTTTTGCCGCCCCCGTATCTCCGAAACTACTGGACGGATCCGTAAAATTCAAACGGTGTTCGATGGCCCTGTCACATTTGACCTCGGGGTCACCGATGACGTCACATGTCAGGTCAAAAATAAAATGTTTCACCGTTCACGGGTCTTCTAGGGAATGGGCTATAACACCGAGTAAAACGCATTTTGTCCAAAATCAGCGATAGGGCGTCAGTTGCCTAGTACATATGCTGCTATTAGGGGTTACTGATGATACCAGGTCAGTTCACAGGCCAGGTCACCAAGGGTCAGCACAGGAGCCCAACTTTACTAAGGCTGTGCGATGCATGTTTTATGGCCAATTTTTTACCGCGAAATTTTCAGTACCTTCCCGGGCATTAATTTGACACCTTCACACAAAATTTCAAGTCTTAGGTCACCTTAGGTCAGGAGATATTTAGGTCAAACTGAGGTCATGTTCGAGCAAAAATGAGCAAAAAACATGAAATCTTGAAACGCTCACAAAAGCTACAATTACCAAGCAATTCAAAGTTATATATATGGTCATGTAGACAAAAAGCGGCGCTACAAAACTGCTATCTCGGATTTTCAAAATTGTGGGATTATGACCCCAAAAATTCAAAAATTGTTTTTTTTTTAGAAAAACGCAAAAAACATCCCATTTTTTCCGAATTTCGAAAAAAAACGGAATATATGTGATAGTCCCTGCGCTTTTCTATATGCATGCCAAATGTTAGATAGATACCTCCTTTTTGGCCAAGTAAAAAACTGTTCAAAATTGATGCCGTCAAATTTTTGAACTCAATTTTTAGCAATTCCAGACCACGTAACGCAAAGCAAAGACCACCATTGAACTCCCCGTGGCAAGCTACATCGAATCGATACCCATTGTATGCAAAAATATCAACTTCGAAATTGGACCTAATTGGACCTGACTTTGACCTGATCTTGACCTGACCTTCACCAAAACAATCTAATCTGACCCCAAAGGCTGCCTGACCCACATAATCGTATTTGGCATATAAAATGGACCATAAAACATGCATCGGCATGATATTTTCATATTGTGACCCTCAGTGACCTGACCTCTGT